GAGTCCACAACATTGTGATCGGAGGAGGCATCCTCATGATGCCGATGGTGGTGTTGGTGGCGGTGAAAGGTCGCGAGAGTTCTCAGCGTGTACTTGTTGTCTTGGGAAAACGTTGCATTTGGATTTGCAGAATGTGACAAGGAAGAGAAGTATGAGGGTTTCTCTAGAAATGACAACAGAGTTCGGCGTATTCTGGTGACGGAGTGTTCTCTGAACAAATCCGCAAGTCTCACAACTGAGTTTTCTCCCACGGAGAAAGTAGTGTGAAGGCTTGTCTTCAAGTCAAGAGGGTCAGACTCTGCGTCTGATTTGTCCGTCTTGCGCGTCGGGTCGGTCGTTGGAGTTGGCCTTGGAGCCAATGGATAGCGGGGATCGCAGCCATACCTGCGCAATATCAGCCCAGTTCTAGACTGCTTTCCCTTTTCCCTCGTCTTCTTCTGGAGGGGGACGTTTGGGTTCGGTTTTAACTTCATCGCATCCTTGTTGTTGTTGTCATCATAATTGCTGTATGTCTTCAGAGTCACCACATGATAGTCTAGGGGAAGATCATCGACGACCGGTGAGTACGTGGTCTGGTAGCCTGTCTCAGGAGGTGGGTCAGGTAGTCGTTCGCTCATTGAATTGGTTTGAACAGTACCACTGCTGCTAGGATGCGCTGTCCCTATAAACGTATGGAACGGATGGTTGAGATGCTGTGATAGAAGGTACGACAAGAGTGATGGCTGTCCCGACATCAATGCTCCCGAGCTTGCATGCTCCGCATCTATTTCATGACCAGCGTAATGGTGATCTCGTTCCATATTTGCTCCTCTTCTCTCAACCAAAAGCTGAAAGGTGATCAAGAGAGGCTGGTTGTCTAGAACTCCTTCACCGAGACCCCTGTTATCGTCGGCTTCAAGCCGTCGGTCAACAATGATGTCCAGGCATCCGTCAAAGAGGCTTGCCACGCCTAAGCCTTGGCGCGTATGGACGGTAAAGCGGGTACCCTCATTATCTTCCAAGTATGCGTAGGTGGAAATAGGATAGAAGTTCCCTTGCATTGGAATTTTATCCATAGTCTTCCTCTGCATGGACTGCAACCCGTTCGCATCGCTGAAAAACCTCCCTCTGTTTCTTATTCCTGTTTGATATCGAACGACCACATCGGTATTGGACCATGGGTTCTTTCGCTCCAGGAACAGCTGTGCATATCGAACTCTCTCGTCCTTATGAACCAGGTCAACGTAGTATTCCACCTCTGTACCTGCAGCCTGCACGGGGTCGCAGGCCGAGTTGTACAGTCGGACCGTTCGGACGAGGGGCCGACCTGGAGTGGTCGTGGATGGCTCAGTGAATGCTTCTTCTGTTAGGGATCCTCTAAGAACGAACGTGGCTCCCCCTCGTGCCATGATGGACTTGAGTTGGGTGTCAGACGTAAGCAAGTATGCTCCTCCTGTGAAGTCGTGGAAAGAAGCGATGTCTTCTCCAATGTATGTATCTTTCCCTTCTGTGGCTGAGCGGATAGAGACAATCAGCCCGGTTTTTGTCGAGATAAAGAGCTGGAGGTCTTGGTTGGATATCATCACACTATCCCCGTTCACCTTTCGGTCGTCATTCTCAAAGCGCTGGCACATATACGGTGCAGGGCACGAAAAATCATCAGGAGGGTGGATGGTGACCAATGTGGCCAAACGAGGCATCGAGCAAGCATCGGTGACCCATGCTTGGACGAAAAATGTCTGCATTCCCAATGGTTGCACTTCAGCCAACCAGCTGATCCTATGATTGCCCGTAGTCTTCCCTCCTGTGTGGGTACCCAGTTTCCACTCAGGCATTGCTTGCGACTGTACGGGTCTCGACGTTGCATCAAGCACACAAACGTGAAGATTGTTCACAAGCACCGTAACTACTCTTCTTGAACTCCGGGCGAGGGGATTGAAGATCACCACCCTGCGAGTTGTCCCAGGTTTGACCGATATAACCTCTTTGGAGAGCAAGCTAGTCGCGCTTTGCTGATTCAGTTCTGCTTTCAACACATTATGCTGCTCCGTCTCCCAAGTGGGAACCCTCCCAACTTCAGCACCCTGTCCTTCATCTGTTCCTTCTTGGCCTTCTTCTCCACTCAACCTTTGAGAGTCCCTCTCTTTTCGCTCTGGAAGACCCTTTGAAGTGGCCTTGGCAAGCAGAAACTGCACAGCCTTTTCCATGAACTGCTTGAGCGACGTGAGAGCCACATGAAGTTTCATTCCGTAATTCAACACGACTGCTCGGCGCCCTGTTCCGGTGATTGCATCATGGTGCTGAAAGAGTGCTGCTGATCGCCGGGCGCTAACAAGGCCACTGTAATGGGTAAATGGAAAACCAGAAAGCTCTGGCATGTTGCTTGCAGACGCGTCGGCCAAGACAAGGCTGTAGAGTATCTCTGCAGAACGCAGGGTTTCTTCCACGGTCCGGGCCATCATCTTGTAGAATGGGCGTGACACGAAGTATCCGCTCCAGTAATCGGACTCTCTATCCGCGTACGTGAAGAAATCTCCCTCCAGCCTTGGAAAAAAGTTTTCCCCGATAACAGAACGGACACGATCACCCCCTCCATCTCCTCCTCTTCCTCTTCCTTCCGCTGACCAATCGCTGCCTCCATAGCCATTGTCAGGCTGCTGCCGAAGCAGGTGTGTTTCTTCTGCCATAGGCTGCTGCTGAAGCAGGTGTGCTTCTTCTGCCATAGCCTGGAAGTAGTCACTTAGGGTCCCCCACTGAATCTGCACCTTCCACTGACGTCTGGAGTTCATGTACTTGAAAAGCGCCTCATAGTTTATGAACTGTGCGTCGACCTCGTCCTTTTGGAGGTATCGAAAGTCGTCACCGAGCGACACGAGCAGGGTGTTGGTCTTGAACAACGTCGATTTCTTCCTGTACTGATCGAGTAGGAGCATCGCCCTGGCCATCACGTTCGTTGCGGTGATCTTTTCCGGATGCCGGTGCCATGGACACGTTATCCCTGACCGCATCGTGGGAAGCCTCCAGAAGTCAAATTGGCAACAGATGGCAGGGTCGGGCCCACAAGTGTGCGGAACGTCGTACATGTAGAACGGCATGATGTGGCATAGCAAGCCCCTCTTCTTGCCGGAGACATCCCCACCATCCCAAGCCTGCTGCCAAATGAACTCAAGACTCTGTCCTTGTGCCAGGACCTTCTTCACTTCATAATGCACTCTCTGGACTACCATGGCCTCCAACCCAAACTCTTGCAAGAGGTAAGGCATGGAGCTTGAGTGACCGAAAGGGTCAATCGCCCAGTTTATTTGGGGAATAACACCAAGGTGGTGGAAAACCCACTGATGACCCTCCATGATCTGTTGTGGAAGAGGGAAAATGCAAGTTATGCAACCAAAGAAGCCACAAAAAATTATAATAGTAACGAGAGTCGCTCTTTATCTTTCACATCCACCCAGCCAGCGATCGAGACTAAAAATTCTCACATCAGTTTTGAATTGGAAACCAACTGCAAATGAAGAACCTACCCAGGTTGATGGCCACATATATATCCACAAGCTACTATCAAGAAAAGCATCCTTGAAATCCGCAAAGGCAACAACTTCATCGATACATCCACAGAGCAAACAGTGCCAAACACCAACTCCAGGCATGAAGTGCAGTGAGACATGGTGGCCATGAAGTGCGGCAATTCGGACATCTCCAAATTGAATTGCTGGACATGATGCACAGCAAGAAATTGAAGACATGCTGGAAAATTTTGCCCCGCGAATCCACAAAGTCTGAGTTTCGACATAGTTGCGCCCACCCAATGTCCCTCCATTCCAACGCGCACCAATGATGGTGCAATAAGTACATGCTACATACAGCGCATGGACCCTATTGTATAGCCTGTAGGTACTTTTCATGCGTATTTCGACAAGGGCACCGATGATTCCTTGCAGTTTGATAATATGTTGGTTTCTATTTATCCGCACATCCTTGTTTCGATTTTCTCCGAATCTCTGATTGCTTTCAGTCATTTATGGGGCTGATCATGCTGATGTGATCACAACCCAAGCAACACGCCCAGCACATTGACACGCTGAATGATCTGTCTGAATAAGCATGAACATAGGGCCAAGCCCTATTCAAATTGGCGCTACACTCGACTACCGTCTTCATGGGAATAGAACGCCTCGTCTTTATAGCTGCATTTGGGGCAACTTTCTGTCTAGATGCAGTGACAGCGACCCGGCAATCTATTCGGGCGAAGACAGTAGAAAAGCATGAAACGTAATCCATGCAACTTGACAGGTTTGCGCTTAGGTGCTATTTTTGTCCTTTAGGTGATAGAAGGCATAAACCAACTCCAGTCAATCTGGTTATAAGTAGCAAGTACTAGCAACCCTTGGCAGCTACAAGTCTTTTTTTTTTTTTTTTTTTTTTTTTKGCAGCTACAACTCGACAAGGGCTACGCTAAAGTCCATTGCAGCAGCATCACCAGTTCCCAGCCTCATCTTTTTCTTTTCTCCTTCTTCTTCTTCTTCTTCTTCTTCTGATCCCCTCCCCTCCCCCCCCGCCCCCCCCTCAACCAGTTCCCAGCCGCCTTCTCCCAAAATGCGGATTTGCGCTCTTGCCTGGTGGTGCAAGCCTTTTTGCAAAGGGAAGTCTGAGCCCTCCTGTGGCCCCGTGGGCCCGTGTTAACCGGCAGCCATTTTTTCCAAAGGCTAGATGCACAACTGTTGGCAGTTTTTTTTTTTTTTTTGGCAGGTTCTAGAGGTTCCTGCAAAGGTGAATAATAATTGAAAAAAGGGAAAACGGTTTGTGCTTATGTGTTCCCCGTAGTCATGACCGCGGGTTCAAACTCGGCGTGCGGTCGGGATCCCGCCCGCCGCCCGCCGCCCGCGGTTGGGGTGCGGCCGCGACTTTCAGGAATTGTTGTAGGGTTGAAAAAATTATAAAAAAACAAAAACAAAAAAAATGATGTTGTAGATCTTTTCGAGATCTACATTGCGCAAATTTTGTTTTATTTTTATTTTTTGACTTCGTATTGGAATTTAAAAAGATTCAAACACTAATTTTCCTGAGGCAAAAGCTGTGTATTTTATTTTTTTGGTAAGAAAACTTATGGAACCTCTTTCTTTTTGTTTTTCAAACTTCGTAAAGTTTTTGGATATTACCGCAATGCAAAAGTTGTTCAGTTTATTTTTCTGCATAACATATTTGTTTTCCATAATTTAGTAATTTAGTTTTTATTATTATTTTTTTCATGATCGCGACCCACCGTGGCCTCGACTGCACACCGAGTTTGCGGCCGCGGCCGCGGGGGATACATGATAGTGCTTAGGTGCTATGTTCCTGCTTAGAAAGCATGAACGTAATGCTAAGATATGCCCAGGATTGTGCTTTCAAACCCCAATACTGCACTGATGGCCCCAGGCCTGCCCCTTCGTCTATTTATTTATAATGTAAAATGGTGTCCGTCGTATGAATCCATGACTGTTGCAAATGTGCCAGCGTGAAGAACCTTGGGACCTTGGGTCGGAAAATAATGCTATGTGAGGATGAGCTTCGAGAACAAAAATGATGAAAACCTGAGAGGGAAGGAAGGGCAAGGAGGGGGGAGGGGGGATAAATTTTAATGAGATCATATCGTACCTGATCAATAATAGCTGAGTATGTGCAACTGGCCTGCAAAGATAGCAAAGAAGGCAGGGATAAACGTGTGAGAAGAATGTCACTGTGGGTTGGTTTGCCAAACTTCCGTCCAGCTGTTTCTTGTGTGGATATGATATATTTACTAGGGGACCTGTTGCGGCTACACCCGCAATAAAAATGGAATGTTGCCAAGAAGTTGGACTCTCTCTCTCTCTCTCTCTCTCTCTCTCTCTCTCTCTCTCTCTCTCTCTCTCTCTCTCTCTCTCTCGCACATGCGTGCCCGTTTTTTCGGTTTGTTCGTCTTTTTTTTTTTGGGTCCCCATGG